TCTGGGAGAACTGGGGGGGGGTTAATGGGAGCACTGGGAGCACTGGGAGCAGTGAGAGCACTGGGGGGATACTGGGAGCAGTGAGAGCACTGGGAGCACTGGGAGCTGTTACTGGGAGCACTGGGAGCACTGGGAGCCATTACTGGGAGCACTGGGTCTGGGAGAACTGGGGGGGGGTTAATGGGAGCACTGGGAGCACTGGGAGCAGTGAGAGCACTGGGGGGATACTGGGAGCAGTGAGAGCACTGGGAGCACTGGGAGCTGTTACTGGGAGCACTGGGAGCACTGGGAGCCATTACTGGGAGCACTGGGAGCACTGGGAGCACTGGGAGCACTGGGAGCACTGGGAGCACTGGGAGCACTGGGAGCACTGGGAGCACTGGGAGCACTGGGAGCACTGGGAGCCGTTACTGGGAGCACTGGTGGGGCACACCCGGGGCACTCACGGGTGTAACCAACCACAAACCAGTCCGAACCAGTACAAACCAGCCCAAGGTCACCATTACGTCACCCCATCGCCATATAAGGAAATCACGCGCGCACCGCCCCCCTCCCGCGTGACCCCCGCGGCACACCCCGCCCTGCCCCCGCGCAGGCGCAGTCAGAGCCTGTGGCAGCGCGGGCTTTGTTGCGTGGCCCGCGCGCCGGCGTGACGTAATCACCGACGTCATCGCGCACGCACTCATCACGCGCTGCCCGCAGGGCGGGGCAGGTCAGGATGTACCGCACTGACGATGCCCGGACATGGCGGCGGCGGGACCCGAACCCGCGGCACCGCCCCGGAGCTCACGGCGACAGCGCCGCCCGCGGGCTGTGACACCCCCGTGACACCCCCGCGCCTTCCCGACCCGCCGCGCCCGCTCTTTGCCCGAAACTCCCCTTTTTTCCCTGATTTTTACCCCAAAATCCCGCCGGTTTTACTCCCAGGGTGCACCGCGCGGCTCATTTGCATGAAAAGCCGGATCGGGGTTGTTTTCGCGGGAAAAATTGATTTTAGCGGCGCGATCCGGGGGGAGTGGGGGTCCGGGGGGTCCA